TACATAAACTACTTTGTTTCATGTCATTATGTTGTCAGACTCGCTGAGTTCCTCTGTGTGATTACTCACATTCCTGTAGAAAGACATTGGCAAAAACCCCTGGGTGGAGGGAGGCTCTAATAAGGCTGTGAACATTGGAAAGAAACTCCGTCATTCCTCTCGCTGTCTACGTGCCGTTGGGCAACGCAGTTGACAGATCCTGGAGTCCGGTGTGTATTGGATTTTTAATCCCTTCGTTGACTTTTTAAACAGATAAACTGTGTTTTTTACTGGTGATTTAATGAAGTACAGTACATGACTGCCACCTACTGGGACCATTTCACACTACAAAAACAGCCTCCTGCAAAAAGCTAAAGAAATGGTAAAAAATACTGGAAGAGGGCAGTATTCCTGCACGGAGCAGGAATCATTAACTTCTAGTGGATCGTTGAATTCCTGACCCCATTCTGGCCGCGCCCCAGATGTTGTGTGTTGTTTTGCTTGATAGAAGATGGAACTGTAGCTTTGGAAAAATCCAGTCCAGTCCTGTCAGGTGTGTCCATTTGGTCATGGCCAGTGGGTGTGGTACAGATTACAGTGTAGACCACTCACTGGTCAACAGGAAGTTGCCTGGTCCACATTTTCTCCACACTTTGGTCCCATGTTTGAAGTACACGTCAGAAGTCTGTATTTTGAGGCCCTTCCACGGCCGTCACTCAGCAGAACTGGGGCTGCACAGAGCAGAGGACCAGGGCAACTAATCACCCGGAGTTAAGGAGGGGTTGTTTGAAAATACCCCGGAGCAGGAGTTTGAGTCGTTGCCCTGGGGTTAGCATTTTAGGGAGTCACGTTGTTGGACTAATGAGCTTAATGTTCCTGTTTTATCCCTGAGGCCGTGAAGAAGCTCAAGTACCTGGATTTGAATATGTGTACTCAGTGTACACCACCGTACTGCAGTACTGAAAGGTAAACATGTTCCAGCACTGCTGTGGCTCTGCCAATATCTGTGTTACAAATCAGTTTTGACCATCAACATTAACCTTGAAGCTTGACCCTTGACCTTTGCTCTCTGCTTCTCTTCAGGAATGGACACGCTCAGTCCTGCCGTGGCAGCGACAGCAGCAGACCAATCACGGTCAAGTCTGGACTTCTTCAACGTGACGCTCGTGCCACCAGTGACGGCTGATACAGATGGTGAGATTTCCATGTTAACGACCTGCGTGTGTTTACATCATCAACCACATGAACATGGCTGTCGTAGAGCGAGTCTCCTGAGAAAATATAAAATCAATCAGCCGTTCAAGATGCTGCACTTAGCAGTGGCCGTAACGGCATCGGAATCCTGGATGGAAATAGCTTCACAGAGGTTTCAGCCTGGAGTCACGGGTCACGCTTGTGTGGATATCAACAGGATTTACGGCACACTGGCAGTCGAGTCCTTCACTTTGATCCAGGCAGTTTAACGCTGGATGCAGTGTGAATCAGTTCCTGTCAGACTCCCTGATGATTTTTGTCAGGGCACAGAGTTATGTTTAGCAGCTAACTAATCTAATAATAGTAATAATAACAGTAAACTGATCTTTGGTATTTAATCATCTAAATGATGTTGTTAAATGATGTTTTAACTTAAAAGAGAACAAATTCACTTTACAACTCAATTTACAATTTTGTAAACAAAGTGAATATGTGAACATTATTGTATATATATTTTTGGCATGTGTCCAAAGTACATAGCAAGTAAGTAAATAGCTATTGATGGTAAAAAAAAAAGTATATTTTAACCAAAAACGTTGACTCTAACTCACACCATGTGAGTCTGAATCCCGTTGTAACCGGCACACTGGATGTGATCAATCGTAGCTTTAATGAAGATGGCTGACATGACCTCACATGTTGAGCATTTTTGTGGCAGGCCGCTGATTCAATTTAGAGCCATAAACAAAAACCTATAACAACCAGATGTCATCAAATCAGAGCCGTTCTCCTTAGAACTGTGTCCTGCTCCCTCCAGGATCTGATGACCCGCTAAATTGAATGCTCTTTTACGTTTTGATTCCCAATATCAGACTAATTGAATGATGAAACTCGTTAGTGTCCCTGATGTGGAGCCGAGGATGACGTGTTTGAAAACACCAAATGTCACATTGTTTCCCAATCCACTTGAGAACTATTTGAGTTCCTGTAATCTGCGCTGTTTTTTCTGATTCTCCATGGTGATGTCAAAATAAACAGGCCACAATCTCGGCCCGAGGAACAAACAATAGCATGACCTCGCTGTGATACGGAGGAACGTGGAGCTGAAAAACAAGAGGCTGGTGTTGACGCTCATTAGTCGTACAGGGAACAAATGGTTCCAACTGGACATATTTAAAATAACGACCTTCAAGAAAACGAAAATAAAACTGAAGAAAGATTCTCTATAAGCTCTCCCAAGACAAATTAGCATGAATAAAGGTGGACAATTACTGCAGAGCTAGAGTTTTTACCAAGGTTTTTGTTTCCAGATGATTATTACCATAACATCAGAATGACATCATGGGCGTGGAGATGTGATATGATGTTACAGGACGTAACAAGCGCTGTGATACAACTGACACCATGATGTCACAGTTGTTTGGATGAGATGTTTATCATCAGTCGTCAGGCTGTAAAAAGCAGACCTTGAAAGTGTGTGGTTGCTGCAGGTGTTTGGTCTGTTCTGATTCCCCTCATCACGGCTCCTGCTTCCTCTCTGTTCCGCTGGTTTGAGTTCAGAGCTGTTGTTTATTTGGGGACGGTGCCTGAGAGCAGGACTGATGTGTGTCACGGCCACAGCTCCGGAATGCTGACTGACTTTAAGGACGGAAAAAACCTGCTCTGATATGATTATAGGCCGCCCTTGAGGTGCCAGCAGTGATCTTAATGCTTTAACTTGTAGCTGCGCAGGAACTCGACTCACACTGAGTTACTGAGGCCTGCAGGCTGACATTTGAAATGAGGTTATCTTGTTTGAGAGTTTTATTTTTGGGTTCTTCAATAGAAATCTTTTTTTTATCAGTAAAAGCTGAATGTTCCTCTCCTTTTATTTGGTTTTGTACGGTTGTGTTTAGGCGTTTTGGCACCAAGGGAGAGTTTATGGTTTGTCTTCAATCCCTCAATAAAAAAAACATAGAACTTTCCAACAATTACAATCACCGTGGGTGTTTGGGTTAATCAAGATTATTTATGGTTAATCGTGATCCAAATCGTGACACAGAAACAGTACTAACAGCAGGTAGGTGTGTTTGTTTCACACCTGCTTTTATTTGTTATTAATTATTTTAAAAAAAGGTCAAGAAAAATATGTAAAAGTCAAATTCAAAATTTAGCTTCATGATAATATGATATCATAGAAAATGTGTTAGTGTTGGTCTATGATATCATAGAAAATGTGTTAGTGTAGAATATCTATGCCAGGCTAGGATTGGTGAGGTTTTAACTCTGAATATGAATCACATTTACAGTATGTGCTGCTGCTTTGACCTCTGTGACCTTAGACATGCCCTGGACTCTTGTCTTGACAGGTCCTCTTGTCTCTTCCTTTATCGTCTGATTTATGGAAGAGCTGCTTCTACTGTATGTGATCACAGACGGGTCGTGTCCTCAGTCGTGGGTTCAGTCAGATTGGGCTTAAATCACGGTCTATATTACAGCACTTGTCAACACAACACCACAGTGGTCCACTTGAGGACTGGATGGATTATTGCATAACCTTCACACATGTTCTCCAGATGTTCTCCCTGTTCTTAGCAGGGATGTTCTGCCCTCTGTGGTTCTCTGTGCCTTATTTTCCTCCGACTGCACAGGTGCTCTTTTACGAGAACCTCCATTTTGGAGTATAATGGGTCTGCGGTTTGTCTAATTTAATTAGGACTGGTTTATTATTTAAAACCATGTAGCTCATTTGTAATGGAGATGGTCCACAGACGGGTACGTGGGCTGTGGGCTGTGGGCTGTACCACACAGCTGAGGTTATGAAGCAGAAAATGTTCATTAATTCTATTCATCGTACTGTAGAGTTCATAACAGGAAACGCACAGCACGACTGGAACAAACGTGTTCGTGCCATGTGTGTGTGTTAGTCAAAGACAAACCTGAACTTTTGTGCACTTTGAATTTCCTATTACATGCTAACTTACAGCAAATCCATGTCAGGCCTGACTGTGGTCCACTGCAGTGTTTGTGATGATGATGATGATGATGAAGATGATGCAGTGGAGGTGCAGGTAAGGCCACTTCGAGGAGACCAGGACTCTTATCCATCAGAAGAGTGGGTCAGGGGAGCGACAGGCAGAATCTTATCCATCAGAATTGGCACAATGAGTGGTGGATGAAACGCAGAGTGGGTCAGGGGAGCGACAGGCAGATGGTCATTTGATGTTTTTGTCTTTGTCTCAGAATCAGGGAGAGTGAGACCAAGCAGTACTTTGAACAACCAATGGCTGTTTACCAGAAAAGACCCGGAATGTCAGGAATGTCTGCCGTCTGAGTTTGTCCCTGAATGAAAGCTGCTCTTGAAATGTGTCCCAGGCAACCAGTGAGTCAGCCCTCACAAAGAGAGGATGCTGGGAAATCTCATCATTCTGTATCACAACTATCTGAATCTTAAGATACATTTTTATATATGTATATCTTTATACAAATACATCCTGACGCTCGTGACCGTGATCCACCCTGTGATGTTAGTCTGGTGGTTTGTCTGCAGGGGGCGGGACGTCTAACAGGAGCTGATAAACAAAACACATATGAGCTGAACCCGGTCAACCCTATGGTATAGACTGACGGACACTCCGTGTCCGTTCTGGGGGCACAATAGCGCCCCCTCATTCCTCAACACAACACACAGTGAGGTCCTGGTTTTCCCAAAGTAAAATTAAATGAATCTTCTTTCTTTTTTCAACCTCCTCTCTGTAGCCACAGCTATGATTGGCTAAAGCTAAAGATGTTAACAATGTGTGTGATGGCTGCAGATGCCACACGTCAACAGAACCCGTGCCATGATCCGCCACACGAAGAACAGTCTAAACCGTTCTGTAAACTGCACCTAAACATCATGTTTTCTTGAACTGGCTTCACTTCTTAAGTTCTATTTGATTTGGCCACTGCGCTGTTACACGTTGGTGTTTTTCTGCTTTTTTTTCTGCCTCATTCCTGCCTGGCTCCTGACTTCCAGGACGTTGGTGGTGATCGTAGCTCAGGCCGACCCTCTCTGCAACAGATACAAGTCATTCCGCAGCGATGTCATGTCAGCTTCATGCAGCGCTGCGGTCATTTCTGTCTTTTGGCCTCACCACAAATCACAGTGCAGGATCCCACTTTTATAATTGTGTTTTCATTAAAATTACAGCATCCGTGCTGCTTCAAGCGTTGGATCGCGGCTCGTAACTAGCTCCAGGGAACGGTGGGGAACCACAAGTGCTGTGGAAATGTTATATGCAAACATATCAATTTGGGGACTGGGATATAAATATTTGGATATGCTCCGTCCTTTTATTCATCACATTTTTTCTGTGCGGGGTCTATCTATCTTTTTCCATTTTGGTCTTCAGTCACACATCTACCAGCTGCAGAGGATGTTTGAGTTTCGGCCCGTGGTTGGTGGGTGGGTGGGTAGGTTGTGTTATTTGGAGTTCAGGACCACACTGTGGCACCATATTTTCCACGAGTAAAAAAAAACCCTTCAAAACATTTCAATATCCCAAAGCAACAGTTAGGTTCAGATTAGAGTTGTAATCAGAGCTAAAGGTAAGAGGTTAAAGAATTTATGACAATGTGAAGTGCCAACTCATCACATAAATCACTGTGTGCGTGTGTGAGTGTGTGTGTATGCAGCTGTGAGACTGTATATCACAGCAGATCAAAGCGTCAGTCACCCAGTCAAAGGAAACCCTGCTGATGACTTTGATAACGTGCTATCGGCTTATTTGCTGCCTGCTCCAAATAACAGGAAGTGAAGACAGAAGCGACTTCTCCCATCATTGTGCCAGACTTGTTTCCCCTCCTCCCTCCTCACACAGGGGGACAACCCAGCGCCGAGATCAAAGACCTGGATGGTAAATCTTGGTTTGGAATCAGAGGCCACTTCCAGAGCGAGGATTAATGCGACTGAATAATGCTGTTCATATACTTTAGGATTCTAAAGTTGGAATCCACACACATTATATTTATGTGGGAACCAGTCTGGTGGGGGTGGAACCTATTGTATGTAACTAGATCTGTATTTTGAAATCAACAAGGGGTTCACTTCCCACTGAGGTACTGCAATGGGGTCAAGGGATTTTTGGTTGATCTGACAATTTGGTTTTTATACAGGGTTAGAATAAGTTTTATTTTATTTTATTTTTTGACAAATGTTTATTGCTATATAATTGTTTTCTCCATCTTCTTCAAGCCGCATGTGTTTATAGGAGTGCATTAATATAAAACCTACTGTATGTATCACCATGTTGAAAACGGTGGTGTCTTGTATAAATATGTAATTTAAATTAATGTAACAGTACGAGCGAAACCATAGCAACCGTTGACTGTTGCTATGGTTTCCCTTCCTCACTTCCGCCAGTCGTTAAGGAGCCGGTATAAAAGCGGGAGTCCCCCCGCCGGATCTTCCTCTGCGTGTTACTTCCGGGTCAGAGGTCGAGTGCCCGACAGGTATGGCCGCCCGCTGCTTCATCTCGCTCGTCGCTTTGTTTGTTCTTATACTTAAGGTATTTTTAATTGTTGTTGTAGGACGACTGTTTGTGTGCTGCTCCGTGCCCCCTGTGTGTGCTGCTGCTGTGGTCGATGGTCGGTGGTAAGTGTTGTTTCTCTCGGCGTTGTGCTTGCTGCTGCTCGGTGCCTAATGCTGGTCTGGTCACAGGTGAATGCTGGCGGCTGGAGTCCAATCCTTCCTCCTCGTGAGTGTGTGTTCTGAGAAGGTATGCACATTGTTACGTGCCACCGCATCAATCTTAGTGCATCTTGCACATGCTAATAGTGTTTTCATTTTGTGTTGCAT